CGGGAGGACGAGGAGGAGGAGGGGGGGGGGGGGGACGAGCGGGGAGACGGGGAGAGGAAGCGAGGGAAGCGAGGGAGAGGAGGGACGGACAAGGGGAGGAGGGGAAGGGGAGGGGAGGGGAAGGAGCTTGTCAGGAACTGATTCTTTTCCTAGTAAGAGTCTGCCATGTCGCGGCAGCTTCCTCCGTCGCCTAACTGGTATTCCTCCTCCTGCTGCGACTGGTCGGCCGGCGGCCTCGTGGCCTATGCAGCTAAGAGCGCAGTTCGATTCCTGGACCCCAGCACGAGGAGGATCGTGGGAGAGCTGCTGGGGCATGACGACCGGGTCACCACCCTCACCTTCGTGCGCTCCCCGCCATGGCTCCATGTGTGCGTGACGGGGAGCGCGGACAAGACTGTGCGAGCATGGGACAGCGAAAGCTCCTCCTGCATGAGCTGCTTGAGGGACCAGCACCAGCTCGAGGTAGTCGCGGTCGCTTCCTCTGCTGCCATGGGTCCTCTCATCCTCTCGGTCGACAAGGGTGGTGTCCTCGTCGCCTGGGACTTTGCCAGCAGCTCCTCTCGCTCGGCATGTCCGATGAAGATGCCGGCGACCTGTATGGCGAGCACGGGAGCGAGGACAGCAGCCGTGGGGTATGCGAACGGAGTCATCCTCCTCCTGGACGTGACCACTATCTCCATCCTACACAAGCTCGTCGGTCATGATGGTGACGTTCAGTCCCTTGATTGGGCTCCTCCTCCTCCAGCAGCAGCAGCAGCTCAGGCCCAGCCATCAGGTACAGATCATGAGGAGCTGCCTGAACTTGCCAGTGCAGGGCGTGACAGGACGATTCGTGTGTGGAATGCGCGAGTAGGGACAAGCAAGCAAGTAAGGGAGGGAGGGAGGGAGGGAGGGAGCGAGAGGAGGAGGAGGAGGAGGAGGAGGAGGAGGAGGAGGAGGAGGAGGAGGAAGCAGCAGGTCCTCAAGCCCAAGGCAGCACCTGGTGAAGCGAAGAACAGAGGATGGCTGGCGTGCAAAGTGGCATCCGCAGGAGAAGGACAGTCTGATATCAGGAGGAAGCAACGGGGACGTGTGGTGGTGGAATGTGAAGAGCAAACGAGCGCAGAAGGGGACGGGGAAGCAGCTTCCTTCCCGTTCCGTCTTCTCTTTTGCCTTGGGAAGACTCGCAGGGGACGAGGAGGAGAAGCTCAAGATGGTCTGCGTCTCTATGGACAGAACCATCGCCCTTTGGGACATGCAGGACAGTCTCACCTGCCGCTGGCTGCTCCCTTGCCTTGGCGGGTCTGCTAACCCTCCTCCTCCTCCCTCCCTCTGACGCCCTCCAGGTACGTCTACGACATCGACCGCTGCCCCTCCGACCCCGCCAGGGTCGTGCTGGCAGTGGGGGACCAGGCGAGGGGAGGAGGAGGGAGGGGTCGAGGCTCTGACATGCCGCGAGCAGACGATCCGGACGTGGCAGACCAACAGCAGGGAGCCGCACGATTGTCAGCTGCTGTGGCGAGGGCTGCAGGCTAAAGTGATTTGCGTCCGTTGGCACCCGGATGAGGATGGGACGGTGAGTTGCTGCTGGTGGTGATGACATGAGGACGAGGCAAGGAGAGCGAAGATGGAAGAGGAAGAGAGAGGAGGGGAGGGGAGGGGAGGGGAGGGGAGGGGAGGGGAGGGGAGGGGAGGGGGAGGGGAGGGGAGGAGGGAGGAGGGAGGGGGGAGTCGAGGAGGGAGTAGGGGAGAGGGAGGGCGAGGCGGAAGTCGGGAGGGGAG